TAATCAACATAAATAGCTATATACCCTCTCTACTTTATTCAAATAGTCTAGTTCTATTTATTTATCATTCTCTCTCTCTCTCTCTTTCTCTTTCTCTTTCTATTTCCAAGTCAAGAAATTAAGAAATCTATCCATCTATTTCAGCTAATTCGGTAATTCCGGCTCCGGATAGAATGGTGGCTCGATAGTGGACAGTTGCTGTCCACAGTTGCTGGACCGATTGATAGACAGAGCTGGACAGGTTGAGTAAACTTGCGACTAGCTTCGGTACCAGTTGTCCGGACGTGGAATCAACGTCTTTTCAGGACAGCATGAAATGCTGGCTTTACACGCCGCCGAGACGGCGAGTGTCGGCACTTAACGATACAACGTGGCCCACAAAGGCCTAAGAGCCTCGTTCAAAGGGTCTCTGGAAGGTGTGCAGATGGGAGGGGGGAGGTTGGTGGTTGGTGGTGAGGGGCAGCGAGAGGCAGAGACCAGAAGCCCACTTGTTGCCGGGCGATTGAGATGCAGACTTGCTCGTCGACAGCCCGGAAGGGGGTCGGCGGCGGCGCGGCTGGAGCCAACAGACCATCGAAAGGGGTCTCCAGTGCTGAATTGTTGGTGTGTCTGAGAGACAAATGCACATGGAATGACGAGATACGACGCCAAGGAGACGGGCGAAGCAGACATGTCAACTTGTTGGCGGGTGTGTGTCGACAATTTAGCTGTTCTACAGCCTCAGAACACCTTTGCCGAATGAGTTCGACTTTGGGACCCGACTCGTAGACTTTCGCTGTACCAGCCATGGCAACCGAGGTTGCTGGTGCTTCAAGATTTGCAGTGCACCCTCGCAACATTCGTCAATACCGTCAGAATTGATGGGCTTGGCTCTTCTCTCCTACTTTACGTGTGAGTGTGTGTGTGTGTGTATTTGTGCATATTATTTTATTCTTACCCCTCAGGAAAGAATTAATAACGTAATATGAAAAGAAGCTGGGTCTCGAAATCTGTATGATACTGTGTGATCTCAGGATTACAGCATCATACGCTAGTTTATTTACATACAGAAAAGTTGTGGCCACATCTGCCCCCATTGTTGCATGCATTCAAGACAAGCAAATTATGAAATGCCTCATTAAGATCACAAATTGAGGCATAAAAAGTAGGTAGAATCTCAGCCAGCCAGCTCTCGTGGTTTCGTCTTTTTTGCTCATTGTCAATAGCTTATGGTTTATGGCCCTGACGAGGTGCCTCACATGAAAGAGGAAAGCTGAGGTCAGAATTGTGAGCCAAAGTCTTCCTTTTTGCACAATTAAACGTTAGAAAAGTAAAAGGTAATCCTTCCTAAGTATCGGATAAAGCCAATTTAAGAAAGATGTGTCATTATTAACAATGGGATTTCCCATGTAAACTGACCTGACCTTATGTTCGCAACTTGGTCGCGTTGT